CCTTCTCGTATCAAATCATCCTGGGGGGAGTTGCAGGGTATATTCTTGAGAAGATGTACTTTCATCCTGGGGGGAGGGGCAGGGTATATTCTTGAGAAGATGTACTCCAGTAATTCTATTCAGGGTGTGCAATGACTTGGAAACCCTTAAAGAGGATAAGTTTCTTTTAAAACCAGTAATCCGTCTTTTAATTTCATTATGCAATGTTTTGGTTTTATACAAAGGCTTTTCTTTGTTCTGTTCAGTCTTGTCCTGGCACACTTTATACAGAGCTATCCATATTATATCATATCAGCGGATCCAAGGGGCAAAATATCAACCAAAAGATGCAAAAAGCCAAAATCTGAACTTTTCTAAAAAGAAAGATTAAAAAAATTCCTGATCTCTAAATCGTTCATAAAGTTCCAACATACATCTAAGCGAAAAATAGAAGTAAAATAATTTGACAATTATGCTTTGTTAAAAAAAATTCAGTAAATCTTAAAGAAATGTTTTTGATTTGGATCCAGATCCGAATCCACATCAAAATTAAATGGATTCTAAGCACTGTAGAAAACTAAAAACCCGATATTTTATCCAATATATTTAAGTACATTAGAGATGGAATTTATAGAAGTTGAGCCGCGGTTTAAATCTGTCAAAACCCGGTTTAGATTAAGCGCTGGCTCAAATCTTGAAACATTTGATACGATTTTAAGTGGAACCAACAATATTTAAGCCGCGGCTTAAATTTAAACCGCCGCTCAAATTCTTTAAATTCGGCCATAGGTTTTCCTAAACTTTTAATTGCTTCAATCTTATAAAATGTCTGGGAATGGCTCAAAAATTTCAATTTATATATAAGCACGATACAATATGATGTGGGACACCTTGTATTTATTTTGATCTCATAGCTTTAAGTACATCCTGTGATTGTAAAGCATGGATAGAGAAGTCCGAATTACCATATCTTGTGAGTAGGGTTTCTAGCGAACGAAAACTTGCACGAACATTCTCTTTCATATTTTGCAAACCTTGTTTGCGAAATGATGGATGCGAAATTTCCTGAAAACCCCGAACATTTTCGCAATTTTTCGCATTTTTTTTGTCTTTTTTCACAAATTTTTTTCCCGCGTAACAGATAAACGCGAAAATTTCGCGTTAATAATCGGACATTTTTTGAGACAGGCATTTGCTGTTCTAGCTTCTGTATCCACTTCACCGACTTGATAAATATAAATTCAAATAATTAACTTTTTTCATGCACAATGCAATCTGTTTGCAAGGTCTTAACTACTAAATTTAAAGTAACCCTCATTGGTAGAGCACCATAATCGATTAATTTAGTGAAAAATGGTCACTTTGAATTACGTTTTTAAAACCTTTTATTTATAATTGATCTATAAATTTACATGAAGTTTAGGACATATTGTAAAATTACAGATAGAATGGTGGACCAGGTTAATCTGAAATGGAACGATTTTGAGGAGAATGTCAAAATAGCTTTCAAGGAAAACTTTCAGCAATTAATTTCGTTTCGTTCGTTCGTTTCTAAAGGGACTGTAAGCTTAAGTTTAAGTGACCCTCTATGAAAGGAGTGTAATTCTCGATTCACACCGGTCCCTTAAAAGCATTGTCTGATCAAACTATGAATAAGATAAAAAATGTTTATAATTCTGTAAACGAATTAATTCAATCCTGGTGTTTTTCTATACAAAAGTGACTTGCTTATTTCTACTGCAGGAAAACATGTGGAATTTAACAGAGTTTAATTAAACCCTTTTCAGGCTAGCAAACAATAATATCTTCCACAATATTGATCAGAGAAAGGTTTCAAGGGTACCGTTGTGAATCGGACAATGCCCTCCTTGCACGAAGGGTCACTTGAAATTACGCTAACGGTCACTTTTTAAAAATTTCTCTTATCCAATATTCTTGTGTTTAAAATAGTGATGACCTAATTTTCTTGAATTTTAATTTATCTGTAGACTAGATTCTGTTTTTAATCTTGTTTTTTGCCCTGTTCTTATCAAATTTAATTTTTCCTCCATTTCTGATTACTTTATTCAATGACGTAGCATTTTGAATATTTTCTCTTGAATATCAATCTATTATCGTTGAACATAAAACTCTATTGTCCTTTTTAGTGATTATTTTCGAAGACTACTACTACCTTTTCTCTTTTTCCATAGTAAGACTGACGTCAATGTAATATTGTCTTGACGCACAATTTCCAAAGACTCTGCGTTTATTTTCCCTTTAACAGTTCTTTTTCTCTCTTAAATCTGAAGTTTGTGCATCAGGACTTTAGAGAGATATTAAACGATGTTGTGTTGTACTGCGGAAACTTGCTGGTTTGTTACAGAGTACAAGAATATTGCAATCACAATGTTTATATAGCAAAATTTAAGGGCACGCCAATATACGTAGATAAGGCGTGCCAAGTTAGGCCTAAGTGCAGATTGCAAAGACCTTGCTAAAAAGATTGGTGTACGCAGTGGTATGGTTCTGCTAAACAAAGAACAAGGTTGAAGTATTTGGCAATGCTAAAGCATATTTTAGCAACAGAATGTAACCTTAACATTCTAAGAACAGAAACTCGGTTTTTATAGTTATTCTAAATTGTGCAACTTTTAAAATTTGCACACAGTTTCGTGTGTAATTCAGATCTATGTGCTTTAAAATATACATTATCCCACACACATTTTACCTCCGACCCACAACTGACGTCATATGTGTATAGCATATTCTTTAATTGAATTGCACACCAAAAGGCGATATTTTATCTAAAAAAAATTTTTTTCTTAGTGTCCAAACCATATTTTGAGAAGATTATCGTCAGCAGTTGTCTAATTAATGCTGCATTTGTCTATAATTCAGTGGACATTTATAGTTCCAAAACTAACACGAGTGTTAGAAATTGGCAGAAATTGAAAGACTGGGGTTCTAGGATCCCTTTCCATATTGAGAGTGAAAGTCGATAGTAAAAACTATAACCAACATTTTACCAAGCATCACAAAGACAACAGTTCATAAGTTTTAGATTTGGAACTTTTTCCCCTGTAATTAGCATACTTTTACCGGAGGGGAAAACGGCCGTGGGTCGGAGGCTATAGATAGGGGTAAGCGTATGCCGCAAATATCATTGTGTGTCGTCATTTGTGAGTTGAAGCTNGAGAATGTTCGATTCACACGATGTTCTTGAAAGATTTGTTTTTAAAAACTGATTATTCTTATTTGTGGTTTACCTACAAAAGTGACTTCCGCATATGTTGTTACAAAAATAATCGAGAGTTTTTTCAAGTTCTGTCTTATTCAAGAGTACTGTAGTGAAGCTGGCATGTCGCTTTTTTAATAAAGGGTTAATTACTTGAAATAACGCCTATTCTCCGTTAATGATAGTAATGGAAATTTTTATTATTTTAACATTCCCTATTCTCTCTTTTTTACTCGTTATTATTGTTATTCCAAGAAATCTTCTTGTAGAGGTTTTTCAGATTTTCCCCTCTCGATTAAAGCGTAGGCGTATACTACTGTTAATTAGTTCCCTCAACTTCTTCCCTCCGTCCTTCTTATAGTTAACTACAGAAATTATTTTCTAGAGAAATGGGATAATAAATGTTTTTCCATAATAATAATTGTTTTCCTTGATATATAATTTCGTTTTCCTTGTTATATTTGACACTTGTGACGTCGTGTATAATTGGTCCATTTTTCTGTTGCCACCTTTTGTACTTGATAATCTATTTAGTTTGACTGATTTCATATGCATGACAGTTTTATGCAAATGAATGGAGCCTTTGTCACAGACACAAACTCTGATTTTCTAATCCGTATATCTTGGCAACCCAATGTCGTAGATGTTAAATATTTTAAACTAGCAAAGGTTTACACCATCCCTCATCAGGTTGCAAAGATATAGGGATTCGAAAATTTGAGTTTATGAAAAAGACTAAACTCATTTGACAGCTTAAAATACTTGAATATAATTTTCGTCATGCATTCGTTATCATACTTTAACATGTATAAAGATCCAAGACAATGTTCTTGTAGTCTCTGAAATGTCATTTTTGATGGAATAAGTAATCAAAGAGAAGCTTTTTTAATTGATAGCTTCTCTTGACTTTTATATTTCAGTGAATCCATGCTGTTTAACAGCTTGGTTTCAATCAAAATAGACATAAAAGGCGCCCTCATTGTAATGATATAATCGTCATCCATTGTAGGAGTATGCTGCTAGCTACAGACATGACTACACAAATATATCCATCAATCTTGCTCTGGGATACAAACATTAATGAGCTCAACCAGATTCTGGACTTCATGTACTTCGGGGAGGTCAAGGTGAGTAATTAATGATCAATNTTTAGATATTTATATAGATATTGTTTAAATATTTATACAGCTATTGTTTAGATATTTATTAGATATTATTTAGATATTTATATAGACATTGTTTAGATATTTATATAGATATTATTTAGATATTATATTGATATTGTTTAGATATTTATTAGATATTATTTAGATATTTATATAGATATCATTTAGATATTTATTTATATCTTTAGATATTTATTGTTACCAAATCTGGAGTGGTCTTTATAATGAGGTTTTATATAACTTCAATCTATTTTTGTTAATTATATCGAAAATCATATAATTTTTCTGGGTGCTCCTTCGGAAAAATAAAATGCAGACAAAATGATGCTGTTTATGTTATATCACGAAGGTTTGCAATTACGTATGGAGAAGAGATTTAATTTTTTACCGAAATAAAGTTTGACATCATTCTCAGATTTGCCATTTTTCTTCGTAATTTTCTAATTAAAATTGTTGCCAATTTTTTTCATGAACATTGACAAATTTACCAAAATAAAAAAATATAAATTTTCATGCATCTTTCCTTGGGTAATGTAAACATAAACAGAAAAACCAACAAATGGGGAAAATATATTAAGACACAAATGTGTTTCTAGGAAGAAAGCTCGTTTTGAATCCTCGACTCCTATTGTAGCCAGGAAGAGCAATCAGCATACATCTAGGGAAGTCACTTTAACCACTCGTTATACGTTCATTGCGCCCAAAGAGAGTCGGCGTATTTTTACCACATTTCTTTCTTTTTTTTTCTTTTTGTTTAGTTTACAAGGTTCTTTAAAATGAATGATATGAACAGCGAATTTTCTTTGCGAACTTATCACTAGGATTATTTTAAAAACGTTTTTTTTCAAAATGGGTATTGGAGGACTAAATACAACAGTTAAAGGAAAATATTGTAAATGATATTTTAAAGTGAGGAAAGAAGCGAGGAAATAAAACAAGAAATCGTACCGATAGATTTCCAGCAAATTATGAGGAAATAATATCAAAATTAAACATTATACTTCAAGGAACTGTAAATATTATCTTCAGTGACCTCCAGTTAAACCTTGACTCCTTGGTCTGATTAACAATGAGGAATATATATTGTCAGTTTTATAAAGAAAAAGGTTTTTTGTTTATGCTTCAGAAATCCGCAAGTCCCTTTTATATTAAACCTACAATTTTAAATTGTCAATTTTCAGATTGAGAAACAAGGATATTTGCCACTTTGTTGTTCTAAAAAAGGTTTAAATGTCATCGTTTTGACTTGAATAACTCTAAAAACGAAGGAATGTTTAAAAAACTTGATGTCCTAAAAATAAAGCTTTGCTCAAATTATTTTTATTTTTATTTTTTTTACATTTTGATTTATTTGAAGCGAGGGAACGGAATTAGCAAGTTATGACGGATACGATTACGAATCCGGGGAACAAAACGATCCAAATATTAGGGATATTTTTTTAGGAAACCGCTAACTCACCATCCTAACTGCAGATTGCAGACCTTTGATATTTCAACATAAGAATTATGCTTGCTCAAACAGTTCAATTATATTCATAGATTGCAAAGATATAGGGATCAGAAAATTTAAGTTTGAGGTGAGTGTTTCCCGTAAAATGTAAATTTCTGATAAATTATATTTAACGAAAACTGTTGTGTTGCTATCAGGAGTTTATACCATCGAGACCTTATCTCCAACCGTAGAAAACCATCGGAAGTAGATGTTGGACATGAAATGCAGCTATAGAACCAGGCCCCCCTCTCCCCCTGTATATATTTGTTTAAAGTGACTGCTCCTTAATAGTGAGAGACTATATCCCTCCAACAATGAGAATAAAGGGACTGAGCTTGAACCGTATGGGAGTGTAAAACAAGAGCTCGGTCTAGACGAAGTAATACCGTTGGAACCTGAACAGCTATTGCTTGAGGGACCAGGGACATATTACGAGGAGAAAAGGAAAGGGTACAAGGGGTTCAAGGGGGACTTAAACTACCCCTTAGATACATCAGGATACTACGGGTTTGAATCTGGAGATATGGATTTAGGAAATCTGGATCCTAATCACTCACTGGATCCTAATCATCCCTTTCAATGTTGTATATGTATGAAACGGTATAAATCCCAAGGTAGTCTACAGAACCATAGATCTCTTTACCACAGAGATATCATAGGACAGAAGTAGCAGTCTACTAATCCATAGATCTCTATCATATAGATATCATAGGACCTCTATCATATAGATATCATAGGACAGAAGTAGCAGTCTACTAATCCATAAATCTCTTCCATAGAGATATCATAGGACAAAAGTAGCAGTCTACTAATTCATAGATCTCTACCACAGAGATATAATTGGACAGAAGTAGCAGTCTTCTAATTTTTAGATCTCTTTACCAAAGAGATATCGTAGAAAAGAAGTAGCAGTCTACTTGTTTATAGATCTCTTTGCTATAGAGATACTATTGGACAGAAGTAGCAGACTACTAATCTATTGATCTCTTTGCCTTAGAGAAATCATAGGACAGAAGTAGCAGTCTACTAATCCATAAATGACCTAAATATCAAAGATTTATAATTTATTTCAATCTCACATTGAAGTTTTTTTAATTACCCAAAGAAATCTTTATCCCGCTTAACAAATTTAACGATTTCTTGCAACAAAGAATGGAGCTAGGTTCTGCTTTGTTTTAACCAAGAATTAAAAGTAATTTACCCACAATCCTTTTATCTCAAAAAACAAACAAATATTTTAACAGTTTTCAAAAAAATATGTCTGACAATTTGATCTAAGAATTAGCTCTTGACAAAACCCAAAGCAAAATCTTTGTTAATGACATTTCCCTGTCAAAACTTTAATATTATATATGAAAGGAATCGGAAGTTTAAATCATTGTTTCCCGCGCAAATTGTTAATTCTGTGCAATGCAAAAGTTGAAGTTTAGCAATCATTGCATGCAATTCCGTGTGACTGAGATCCTCTTCTGAACTCCTCATTTTAAAATTGTAAAAAGTTACATTATTTTTGAGCTCTGTAAAAAATAAAACCATTTGTATAAAATAGGGTGAAATTTTGTAAACTCAAAATTTGGCGCTAATACTAATATTTGGAGAATTATTAATGTTCACTGGCATTACTGAACAAAAAACATTTAAACATATTATATTACCAAACATGTTACGATAGGTCCTTGCTTACATTTGATCCCTTGAACAACTACAGTGTTAGACGATTATATCAAAACGTCAAAGACGATTTTTTATTTAAATTTTGATTAATAACAAGCCTATTCGAATAACAAGTTTACAAGTAATCAAGCTTTTTTTAACTGACAGCTGCTTTTGACTTGTGTACAATGTGCATCCATATGGGGATTAACAGCTTGATCCAAATAAAATTAAAATAAAAAGTCGTCTTTTTTGTTTTGTTATATTAGATGATGTGTGACGACTGTATAGTGTATACCATTATATCCCTTATACGTATTTTATCTTGTGGATAAATAATGTTCCTGCTCAGTATTGAAAATAATTTTATTACTGTTATTTTATCATTAAAAGAGAACTTTGATTTTAAGTAACCCTTCATTTTAGTGTGACATGTCCTAGTCACAACGGTACCCTTTGTGAATCTCTATCTTTAACATTGAGGAAGATATCTGTGTTTTTCTATCTAAAATATTGCATTATGCTAAATTCATTAAATAGAGAAACCACAAATTCAGAAATATTTCTAATTCATCCTTGATGGCAAAAAAGTTTAAACGGTACCGTTGTGTATCTGACATGCCACACTACAGTTGAAGGACTGCTTGAAACTGTGTCTCGTGTCTGCAGTCCCTTAAATTGTTAATATTATTATTTTTATTACTATTTGCTAAAAATTAAAAATAATAATAATTTAAATTCTGTAATTTCATCAATATTGGTTTATAAAGATATAACACATATGTTTGTNTTTCCCCTCCAATTCCTGACACAGGAACTGAGTGACACATTATTCAATATCGTCTTTGTAGATGATTTCTGAGTGTCAACCTGTGTCAAAGCAAAGAATGATTAAAGAGTACAATCTTCAAGTAAAAATATGTTCATTTTAGCATATAACTTTTTATTGTAATCTGTTTTAATATTTTCAGATTAGAAAAATGACTTGACTCACACATGAGAGGTTTGTTAAATTCCTTTTAAAGATATTTAGATTTTTAAGACTAAAATTTAATTGTGTTTGTTACTCATTCCCAAATTTCGGTTTATCAGGTATGCCACATATTCCAAACTTTTTTTTAGAACCACTTCTGGATTCCAACATGTTTTACCTGAGTACAAGTTTATGACTGCAGATAAAATTTTTGCCTAGAAAAATACTTTTTTGATTTGTAAAAAGCTTTGTCCGTATGTATATTCGTTCGAGGGAGGAACTTTTAAATTTACGAAAAGGTCGTCGTTGATTTTTTAAGCCTTTTTTGTGCTTTTAATAATACCGGAGATATGAAGAATTTGTGAAGATTTCGACAATTTTAGTTTTATTTAATAATATTGAAATCTGAACGAAATTCGTAATATTTCCGGCCGGTACTATTGACGAAACAAAAAAATCAGACAGAATGTGGAACTAGGAGTATTTTGTGGTTATTATTTCAAGAATCATGCATGTTAAAGTAGGTTGACGACTAAATGTCGCAAATAAATGAATTGATCAAAAACGCCTTTCTAGTCATCTTTCTATCCTCTTGTTTCGTGGGACACCTTGTCTCTCCGTCGACGGTTAAATTTTTTGGAGGATTTTCAGCATCTGAAGAAAAACACGGTTAACTTAAATTAATCAATTTAAAAAAATTCTTTATGAATAAATATTTCTGAAGATTAGTTTTTGTACCAATCAAAAGTTTTCACTATTTGGTAGAATATTTTGTTTCAGATGTCGTCTTCTATTCATCCCACAGATACTGTTGATACTGCTCTACTTATAGAATCAGAAAATGGTGAGATATCTTCATGTAAAGTATTTGACAATTAAAAGTGTTTTTGATGTAATTTTAAGTGTCTCTCAATCTCAAGATTTACAATGTTTTTGAGTTCAAATAATTTAGTTAATTCCTGTTTTTCTATTCTTCATCATACTCTTTTTCTTAATGAAAGTGTCCTGCGTATTTGTCCAAAAGAAAAATAAAAGAAATTAAGAGAATATTTTTGTTAAAAAAGGAAAACGACGATATCTTTGCAATTTTAAAATCAATTAAGATTAAAACGATGGTACTGTGAATCGTAGTGTAACTTTTAAAATTAAGGTATACTAAAAGTACGTGGACAGTCTTTCAAAACAAATTTATCAAAACTTTTCTTTTCTGAGGAAACTAGTTTTTCTGCGAAAGCTGATGTTAAACCTGTTAAACCTGTTAAAAACCTTGTCTTTAGTATTTTGAAACTAAATAAACGATAATATATTCTTTAAAAAAAACCAGTGGTAGCTGTTGAACGAGCAGTTAAGACATAGCTTAGACTCTGCACTTTAGAATAAGAAATGAAAAATAAATTTTTTAATGAAATTTGTGTCTTAAATCAATGGAAACACAAATATCCTATAATATAAAATATCCTAAATGTCAATCCAGAAGTTATTGATCAATTTGTTGTTTTAGGATCTGAACGTGGTATGATCGGTGAGATGAAGAATCCAGATTTTATGTTTATTACGATCATTGCTCGGATATTTATTGCACTGATCAAGAGGTAATATCAGGGGTGCATGCAATGATTAGGATCCGGATCCGTAGGATCCGCAACATTTGGGCTTCCTGGATCCAGATCCGAAAAAAATGTGTGGCTCCATGAATCCGGATCCAAGGACAATATAACTATTAACTATAACCTGTACATTTGGACACCTTAGAAAAATTATTCGATTTGAGAGTAAACAATTAAATATGGAAAATTAAAATTGTCAGCTTTCGACTGTACCTCCTTTTCTAGTGATTAATTTGGCTTTTAAATATTGCCTTTAAGTCGCAATTTTAATTGGGGAAATGATTATATTTTGTGGAGAAAAGAATCGAAAAGAACGAAAGAAGCAAACTGTTAAAAAAAAATCTTAAATTATATTTGATTGACAACTATATTTTTTCAACGTAAAAAAACGACACCCTATATATTTGCAACACAGTAAATTTTAAACTGAAACATTTTTTTCAGAAATAAATAGTGAAATCGTTAAAAGAATGAAAAAAAATGTTGAATTTTTCAAAATATTTTAATTAAATTTTTTTCTTCAAAAATACCTTCCCCCCCCTCCCGGAGGGGGTGTAATTTTTGATTATATACAGCCTTGTATCTGTCTCCTCCTCTCTTTCAGTACGAGTCTGAAACAAAAAAAAATAAAAAAAAATAGGTTGGCATAATCACCTTTCCCTAAAATATAATCGTTAATTCATATTCATATTCACAACAGTACCCTTACACGTGTTCATATTCACAACAGTACTCTTACACGCGGTCATATTCACAACAGTACTCTTACACGCGTTCATATTCACAACAGTACACTTACATGCGTTCATATTCACATCAATAACTTTACAAGCGTTCATATTCACAACAGTACTCTTACATGCGTTCATATTCACATCAATAACTTTACAAGCGTTCATATTCACAACAGTACTCTTACATGCGTTCATATTCACATCAATACCCTCTCATGCGTTGTCTGATCAAAAAGGAAAAAGATATCCATGACGTTTCTCAACAATAGAAAGCTGCTGATTAGTTGTTTCAAAATAGTGCTGGACAGTGTAAAAATTTAATACTTCTAGCTACAGTGATAACCAGAAAACTCTAAAATAGGGAAACTCGTTCAAAATTCTATGTGCATTAGACACAGCAAGTATGCAGTGGAAACAGATCCATTTCACTAAATTAGTGATTAAATAAGTGTCATGTAGAATTTTTTGCTTTTTAGCAGCATCAAAAACTCTTAAGTTCTGCAGCTGCTTTGATGTCGCCTTCCTATTCCATTGTTTTCTGGTTATCACTGAAGTACTAATAAAACGATGATATATTCCACATTATACAGCAACTCACGTTTAAATTTTAAAAGGGGAGCGATATTACTTGTGAAAGGGCATCATGCCCCTCTTTCAATACATGGTCACGCTTTTAATGCTTTTAAGGTAGAAATTAGCCTTTTAGGGTTTTGGGTGAGAAAGATTCGTTTGAAATAGTCGATATTTTTTTATCACAAAATGTATAGTTCCTTGGTTTCGATTAACTACTATCTGTTAATAATTATGTTAAGGTTCTGGGCATTTTCTGGTGCTGCTCTTCTCTCAATTCTTCTATTTTATTGGTAATTTTCTTATTATTATTTTCAAGTTATCTTTGAAAAAAAAATCAGCAGGGCCAATTGAGCCAGAAATGTATTGTCAAAAGGGCAAATGAGGGGGTGGCAAATCATTCTTTATTTCATAATTTCAATCCGATTTATTAAACCAAAAATTTTTTTTTGATATTTTTCCAATTTTATATCTTTGTTTTGATACAAATAATGATGTAATGGCGTAGAGCTTTACGATCAAGATTTCCTCCGAAAATATTCATTTTAATAATTTAAAACAAAGAGCAGAATTTTCTTATATACAAGATAACTAATCTTTCTCTGAGAAAGTCAATCATTCCTGGGATTCCACTGAGTTTCCCAGCCAAAATTAAGGCATATCGGTCAAGGAGTCAATGAGTTATAATCAGACATTCAAGCAAACAGGCAATCAGAGATGACTGCCTATCTATAAACTAGGCTAAGAACCCAGCGTATATATATATATATTAGATTTTGTTCTCTGCTATAAATGTATGCTCTGTTTCAAACGTTGTGCTCCATGCTAGAATCTACGATTGGTTTTATGTTCTCTGCTATAAATATATGCTCTGTTTCAAACGTTGTGCTCCATGCTAGAATCTACGATTGGTTTTATGTTCTCTGCTATAAATATATGCTCTGTTTCAAACGTTGTGCTCCATGCTAGAATCTACGATTGGTTTTATGTTCTCTGCTATAAATATATGCTCTGTTTCAAACGTTGTGCTCCATGCTAGAATCTACGATTGGTTTTATGTTCTCTGCTATAAATATATGCTCTGTTTCAAACGTTGTGCTCCATGCTAGAATCTACGATTGGTTTTATGTTCCCTGCTATAGATATATGTGGGTGTAGTTGGAACATTTTTAACTCCACCCGCATATATAGCAGAGAACATAAAACCAATCATATACTTTTGTTGACAGCAACTGTTTTATTGGCGCGGGAGTTGCTGTCAACATAAGTATATATTATTGATCTATAGTAAACACTATAAATATATGCTGGTCAAAAAATAACTTGAAATTTACAAATATATACCAAAATATTTATCAATACCATAAATATATGAGTTCAACCGCACGCATTAATGGTTTGGTTTCGCATTTTTTATAGTGCATACAATAAATCAATTATATATCTATGCTCTCAACTATATATATTATATATATGTACAATGTATATTATTCAGGTTATATGGCGGAGTTCTTGCATTCCTTCTTGTATGCTTCGGACTGTCTGGTGTACTGTATAAAGCTGGAGATCGTCTTCTTTATCATCCTGAGCAACCTCCTCACTCTAGAGTCTTTATACCAACACCTGCACTCTTTAATATGCCATTCGAGAACCTTTTCATTAAAGCCAGGTAGGTCAAATTCAATGTTTGATTCATGTTTGATACCCTGAAAAGCTTTGAACACGAATGTATGAGATTGTTTCTTTCAATCGGTATTATTCTGTTAAGTAAAAGCCAAATATTATCCAAAGAAACAGAGAAGGAAATTTTGGAACTAGAAAAAAAATTTGTAAAATTGAACATAAACTGGAAACCCCCTCCATGAAACCTTTCTTAAACCCAAAAACGGTTTTGTTTTAATGTTGGAACTCAGTTACTCCTGTTCCTGATACTAATAATTACAATGAAAAGATCTGACAGGGTATATCCGATATTGAACCCCGTGTAAAATCTGGATAGGCGATTTTGTAAGCCTTTTGAGATAATTAAACAGCAAATTATAACCACTGTACACATATTTGAATGCATATTTACAGGTTTGTATCAACATAAATAAATTATAAATTAAGATACATAAATTTTAGGTAATTGTTTGAATGATTCACCAACATAGGGTCAAATGCCACAGGGTAAAACACATGGGATAAAACGACTTAGGGTAAAGTGACAAAGGGTGAAACGATATAGGGTCAAAAATTGCGACAAAAAAGAAAAATATCATTTTGCCTATTTTTTGGTTAATTAGAACTATTTTTATGTTCATTTAAAATACTATCCGCAGTGCTCGGCCCCCTAATCTGTCTTGGCCGCAGCGCTCGGTCCAGAAATGGTCAACCTAACCTAAACCTGCAATAATACATAAAATATTTATTTTTATATTTGTCGCGTATTTGACCATTTGTCTGTTAACCATTTGTCGTTAGACCCTAGGTCGTTTGACCCTAAGTCGTTTGACCCTATGTCGGTGAACCCTGGATCTCTGACTCTGGACTCTCGCCCCTGGACAATCGACACTCGACACTGGACTTTTCTAGCCTCTTAGTGCACTACGGTCATGTGGGCTCTGGACTTTTGTCTTTGGAACTTGGGACTCTGGACTCGGGGCTCTGGACACTAGTCTCTCTGAGATATGTTTAACCCGGCTCCATTCTAAATTATCTACCAGTGTACAATTGTATAGTAATGTACACTTGTGTACTGCAAAGCATACTGCAAAGTTCCACGTTGAACATTACAGCTGAGCCCGTTATCTCCATAATATTGTTTGAACAGTGGTTGTAAAGTTCGCGTACTTTGGGGGACGATAGCTTAACCGCCAGATGTCTCACCAAAATTCTTATCTGATAGGATGGTGTATTTTTCGTCCTACGCTAAATCCGCTATACTCCACTTCTGACCTACGCAAAATCCGCTATACTACACTTCCGACCTACTAGCACGTGGTTTCACAGCTGCTAGGTGGACATGTGGCCGCAGCGCCCGGCCCCCTGAGCCTGTCCTAGCCGCAGCGCTCGGCCCGGAAATTGTCTTTACCCCCTAACCCTCAAATAATTCAAAAATAAACAGCTGGCATGGGTCCGATACGGCATTAGGTCGGTAAGTTGTTAGGTCAGAAGTTCAGTAGGGGGAATGTTGCGCATAGACGATGTAATAATACCGATTGATAGATAATTCAGGCATTTGCCATTCTATGTTGCGCGCACATGCCCCGTAAAATTACAAAACAAAGAGAGGGGGATTGAATTTTGTAGATCCTGAAAAAAAGTATCTGTGGGATGCCTGCGTAGAGCTGGCAGCTGGTGGGGTCTTAAATGTAAGACATGTGCGCGCAACATAGAATGGCAACTCCCGATAATTTATACGAGAGACATCTAGCGGCCAAACTATCGTCCCCAAAAGTGCGTAACCTACACTATCTATAAAGAGAATGGCAGGGCTGCCAGATGGCTATTTTTCCAGCCACATTTCCTTAAAATGGCTATCTTTCAAGGCTGTGGCAGAAGTGGCTTATGTGGCTTAAAAGTGGCTTTTTTTCAAAGTTTTACAGTAAAACTTTTAAATTTACATTTATCGTCAGTAAAAACTATATAATTTCTTCATGACACATCATGCAAACCAAAAATTGGCTGCAGTTCTCTCTCTCTTGATCAAAGTTTCTTGCAAGTTGTACTTTCAAGAATCGGGTTTTTCAACTGTTTACATCTAATTAGTATTTTCATCTGGTGGACACAATTTACAACTGTACAAGTGTTCACAAACCAGTTTGCCAGTTTCAGCAACCCTGAAACACTTCATTTATCAGAGGAACAAGATTCTTTTGAAAATAATCTTTTGTTAAGTGCTTGCATTTACAGTTATACAGCTTGGATTAGAATTGAAATATACTAATTACTATGTTTATTAATTTACAGTTGATAAATAACTAAAATTGTTTCATAAAGAATGGGTATGTCCAGTCAAAAGAAAAAGGTTACTAATAACTAAAATCTCTCTAAAAAAGAATAAAACACCTATTTTTATAGCTAAAAAAGTGGCTTAATATTGGCTTTTTTTTAGACCAGAAATGGCTTAATTGGCTTTTTTAAAAATCAAAAGTGCCTTTTTCCTAATCTGAAGATCTGGCAACCCTGGAATGGGCTCTGAGCTTACAGGAGAGGGGGTCGGATATGTAAATTTCATCTCAGAGGATTTCTAAGTTATCTTCAAAAACGGAGTCAATGATAATTCATACGAGAGACATCTAGCGGCCAAACTATCGTCCCCCAAAGTGCGTAACCTACCACTATCTATAAAGAGAATAGACTCTGAGCTTCCAGGAGAGGGGGGTCGGATATATAAATTTAATCTCAGAGGATTACTAAGTTATCTTCTATGCACCGAGACCGCCCTCAGGATGTAGCGCATCAGCATGCGGCCTACTACAAGAAGCTAAAGGAACATATTACACCTTTCTCCCTCTATAAAATATACTGTCTTAGGATGAAACACACACATATGTTCCTGATTTAACAAGTATAAGAAACATTTCACACTGTTCCAACTATAATATATGTTGTCTAGGGATGGAACACAGTTACACATGTTCCTGATAAAACAAGCTGAAGGAACGTATCACACTGTTCCAACTCTATTGTTCCTTCACGGGAATGCAGGAAATATTGGACACAGGTAGAAAATAGACATTGGTCACAGGTAGACTACAGACATTGTTCACAGGTAGACAATAGACGTTGGTCACAGGTAGACAATAGACATTGGTCACAGGTAGACAATAGACGTTGGTCACAGGTAGACAATAGACATTGGTCAGAGGTAGACAATAGACATTGGTCAAAGGTAGACAATAGACATTGGTCACAGGTAGACAATAGACATTGGT